CCCAAGGCTAGGTCCTGAGATTACGTGATTACACAGAAACCTCATTTTTTGGATTAAAAACCCCATCGTGGATGTTGAGAGCTTTGCAGTGTGGGTGGTGCAATGGCGTATGCCTGAGCCTCAGGTGTGTGCTTCCAGCCTGCACTCCCCTGAATTGCTTTGAACTTCCCTTTCCACAGCCAACATGCTTCATAGCTGGAGGAGAAAAGTCTAGTGGGCCAAACCCCCTTTGAAGCACATTTTGAGTCATGTACATAATTAAGTCTATATGTCCTAAAATTAATCTGGAAGTGCTTTGCATTTTAATCCAGGGGAAAACTTCACATGTGTTACAGTAATGTTGCTTAAAATCCAGGTTAGTAACAGTTTTTAGGTCCCTCTGTGCAACCACCCAGTGTAAATATTTCTGCTGAAGACTAAAGCAGTCGTTGCAGCTTTTCTTCCATGTATTAATTTAGCATTTGAATCTATTTACGTTTTCAGAAACATGTCTTATGTCTTATGAATGCAGCTAAGACTATTGCTAATGGTGTCAATTGAAGCTTGGTTGCTGGCAAAAGGATGTCTTGAGTTTTATCAGTTCAAACACGGTGCTCCTTTGTGTGGTTTCAATGGTCTGCTGAGACAATAAGAGTTTACATGGAGATATAACCTAGCAGCAGGGTGGCTGGATCAACGCCAGCAGTTTTTGGCTTGTCTGTGAATATGGCTGATCTTTTTTGGACATGATCTTAAAAACCAAACAAACCTGAATGGTACGTGTTGCCAAGGAATTAAGTTAATTTTTTTTTTCTTTTTGAACAACATAATTTTCTAAAAGACTATAATGCATTGAAATACAAGGATCTTAAATGACTTAGCCACTTCAAAAAGGGCATAACGTTCAGGTTATTTTGAACAGTGTTTCCCAACAGAATAATCATGACCTGAGTATCTTAGATGCTTACTGGACTTATTGCAAGGGTAGGGGAGTCTTTATGTTTAGCACACCTGGTATGAGAGATTGTAAGGGTTACCTTTGAAAACAAACAGTACAAATCAGTACGAGACTTATGGGATTTGATTCTTTCCCATTCATTTTTTGCTGATGTTACTGCAGATAACACAGTCACCCTTGATTTACACTAGTGTAAGAGAAAACCAGAATCATGCTCATGGTCACACAAAAATGTAACCCATAAGAGGAAAGCAAAAAATTAATTTATTTGCCTAGCAACTTATTCCACTCAAACTGTGAGAATCTTTTTGTATCACTATCCCATTATCGGTGGCTAAATAAGGAGTTGAAAAACTACAGAAGAGCTGGGTGGAGACCTAAGAAAGCAATTCAGCAGTCTGGAACTTCCTCTGCTAAGTAATTCTGGCACTAAACCCAAGCAAAATCAGAGTTATTCAGCCAAAATAAATCCATGCAATGACGATATCAGATGTGAGGTAACAGCAAGTCACGCTGGAGGATATCAGACATTCTTGAATAAACCACAAGGCCTAGATATAATCCTTTGCTGTTACGCTGTAGCCCTGCCAGCAAAGCAAACACAAATTTTGGAGTCATTATGGCAAGGCAAGTAAGAGCATATGGAATATATGTGCTTAGGGTGGGAGCTGGCAAACTGCTGAGCACCTTCAGCTCACACACCCTCAACAGCCATTAAATATCCTTTATTCCCACACTCTGATCCCTATGGAAGTAAACAGTTCTCTAGTATCATTTCCACAAGAAACAGCTGCAAGGCTTGTTGAAGTCTTTCCTTTTCTGTCAGGATGTTATTGATCAAACTTTTCTACCACTAACCTGGCTGTTTTCTTTAATTTTTCTATGTGTCCATATGTCTGGGCATACTCTTGAAAGAGATTGAATTGCCTGAGCTTAAGAAGTTGCTGACCATCTGTCCTGGTTTCATCTGGGACAGAGTTAATTTTCTTCCCAGTAGCTGGCACAGAGCTGTGGTTTGGATTTAGGATGAGGAGAATGTTGATAACACCCTGATGGTTCAGTTGTTGCTGAGCAGGGCTTACACCAAGTCAAGGCCTTTTCAGCTTCCCCTGCTCTGCCAGGGGCACCAGAAGTTGGGAGGGGGCACAGCCAGGACAGCTGACCCCAACTGGCCCCAGGGCTATTCCAGACTGTATGGCGTCATGCCCAGTGTAGAAGCTGGGGGGAGTTGGCTGGGAGGCAGAGATTGCTGCTTGGGGATGGGCTGGGCATCGATCAGTGGGTGGTGAGCAACTGCTTTGTGCATCACTTGTTCTGTATATTTTTTTTATCATCATCATTTTTATTTTTTTGTCTTACTTTGCTGTCTTATTAAACTGTCTTTATCTCAACCCATGAAATTTACTTTTTTTTCTGATTCTCTTCCCCATCCCACAATGGGGTAGGGAGGTTGAACGAGCTGCTGTGTGGTGCTTAGTTGCTGACTGGGGTTAAACCATGACACCATTGTCTGAGCAGTGTAACCAACCGTGCATACACTCGTGACTTACATTAGCAAATCTTACTTTTCAGTTGGGATGGGCACTAAGACACTCAGAACTGAAAGTGAGAGGTGATCACTTCTTTCTGCTTACCCCACGTCTGCCACAGACAGACAGACTTCCCTGCAGCCTGCAGCAATTTTCCTTCAATGCCTTATACTTTGTGATGCTCCTGAAGGCGCATCACAGCCCCCCCGTGCAGAGGAGGTGGAACAGGTATCTGGGGCAGCACCATCGGCAAGCCTAAGCCTTCATCATGTGCATGCACTCAGCTACCCCTAACAGGCAGTAGCTTTCTGTGTTGTGGCAGCATGACCTTTTCTGATCAGATTCCCGCATCCTAAGCCAGCTCTGCTGTAAAAAAGGTGCTAGACCTTTGGCTCAGCAGCCATTCCAAAACGCCCTTTTGGAAAAGGGGTCTTGGAGCACTCTGAGTTACATTAATACACACCATGCACAGGCATACTCCTTCCTCTCCATTTTCCTCCTCGCTGGCTCAGGAGATATGCACAGAGTTTGCTTTTCTTTTTTGCACAAGGTGTTGCAGGAAGCCCCCCACGCTGCATATCCCATTTGACTCATATGTATGGTATTTGGCTACTGTGCTTGTGAAACTCATACTCTGATTTATAAGCTAATATGAAATGCTGAATTCTGGACTTGAGTAAATGAGTCAGTGTGTATTGTAGTTTAGGACTCTTAAATACTGAAATATAGAGATGGAATTAAGTTAGTTCCACATAAAAGGGGGGGATATTTTATTAGAGGTAATAAATTCAGTACAGAACAAATTTATTCAGACCATGATTGCTAAATTGCTTGGATAATTAAAACCTGTGATGGGTAAGATGACACGCAGTAGGAGAAGGATAAGTGTTTAACTCATTTTTTTCCCTAGTTTGATTCATTGTAAGGTAAATATTACTTGTGTGGGGTATGTTAACTTTATTTCTAAAATGTGTTTGCCCAAGCAGTGAATAGTGGTTATTTCATAAAGTTAAGAAAATAGAAAGCTAAACTTTTATGACATTTATATGAGCCAGCTCTAGACAGAAAGATGTAAGCACTGAGGAAAATATAAGCACTGCAGAAACTGTGTCATTTTGACCATACAAGGGGCTAGCTGCCTGGTTAATGTCTGGCGTTTATGTGAATTCCAGTTCTTTCAGATATCTATTTTTATCTTTCATTAAATTCTTCTTGGAGTGACACAACAGAAATCCCAAAGAAAACCGCTAAGAATAGTTTCCCAAATTTTCACTCACTTTTCTTTACATAACGTTATGCAAATCTCAAATTGCTGTGCTTCATTTGGGGTCAAGATGATTCAGGAAGTGGGATAAAGATTATCCCACCTCTGCTGACTCCAAGGACAGTATGTCCCCTATATATGTCCCCTACCAGGGTCTACTGCATAGATTTTCAATCTGTGACCCACTGCCTTTGTTTCTATTTTTCCTGCTTATTGATTGAACCAACAGCCTGAATCCTCCCTAATTTTCATCCAAAAATGAAGTTGTGCAATGATGAGCTTAGCCGTGCTTGAAAGAGTGCGTTCTACAGTGGAATAAATGCAGGTTTAGCCCATGCATGGGGCCATCCACAGCCTGACAGTGGCCAGCATCCACAGCTCTTGGTAGGGACATATCTTTAAAAGGTGGATGCAGAGCTGAAAGCTGCAGAGCTGTGTAGCTAAGTAAGTGCAGATCCACGTGTAGCCAGCTTGGATCCCAAGGAACGGAGCCTCCCCAGATAAATATGCCAGGTGTGTGTCCCAGGTGCAGGGCTAAGAAACACTTTTTTTTTATGCTGGAGATATTTTTCAGCCATCTGAAGGTTCTTTTTCTTTTTTCTTTTGTCACACAGCAACGATCAGATATCTACTTCTAAAACCGGTGTGCCAGTTTCTGGTTTTATTCATATATATTCATAAATGTCTGCAGTTATTTTTTCTACAGACGGCAGAATTTGGATCATCATTTCTAAAGCTGAAAAACTGCTGTATATGCTCAGTCTGCCACCTAGGCTTTTTTTCATGGAACTATCAATCTGCAATGATCTGGGGGTACATTCTGACACCTCTACTTATTTTACATGTAATTCTGCACATCAGCCCATTGAATGACTTCATTAAAAGAGGTCAGAGAATAAATAATTTGAGTCTGAGAAGCTAGCCTGTAATTTGCCGTTTAGTAGATGTGGAATAATGATGGTTATGGGCTATTTACTGCATTTCCTGGAATTCCACTTCATGTAAAAATTGTGTCACTTTGTTTTGTTCACCTGACATCAGTTTACAGTAAGTGAGAAGTTAGATCAGAATATTTTTTTCCCTTTGAGATAATCCATTTATAGAGTGGGAGAATATTATAAAACTAGCTTTGTTTAGTTTGTGCTTAACAGCCTGAATCAAACAGTTGAGACTGCTCTTCACCAAAGGTAAAACTGTGTGTTCTTCTGCAAAATGGAATGTAAATATACTCCAGCATTGGGAATAATGTTTTTTCTCCTCTTTTCTGCAGCAATATGAGAACTGGCGACCCAACCAGCCAGATAGCTTCTTTTCTGCTGGAGAAGACTGTGTTGTTATAATATGGCATGAGAATGGGCAGTGGAATGATGTACCATGCAATTATCACCTTACCTATACCTGCAAGAAAGGAACAGGTACAAACTTCACAGTAACAATAATTCTCCAAATTCCGGTTTTATAAAGTTAAAATGACAAACTCTGGTTTCTGGTGACCAGTACAGTGAGCCCTCTACTGAGTTGGCTTCACAAAGTCATCCTTCATCTGTGTCCGCAAATTACATCTCTACCTAATCTGTTCTTGAGTCAGGCACAAAAGTGTACAGAGTTAAAACTCTTGGATAAAACCAGACAAACTTAGCCTTAGGTACAGATCTCAGCAAAAGAGGCACTTGTGTACCTGGCAGGCTTGCTTTACTGGCATAGCATGAAAATAGCATGAAAATACCACCAACTCTTCTTCCCTGGGATGGCATCACTGCGAAGTATGGGGGCAGCAGAATGTTGGCAGGCAGACAGAGCAGGCGGCTGACCAGCTTTTCAGCTTCATTTGAGCATACTTTTCACCCATCCAGTAATGCCGTCTGTTGTCTTCCTTTTTCCAAAACCATACGGTCTAATGGCACTACTGGAATCTGAAAAGCACATTTGGTTTATACACTGCTAGAGCTGATACAGGAAACCTGACTGTTACCAGGAGCTGTACAGTGATACTTCAGGAATTGCTCTGCCTTTTCAGGCTGGGAAAGCAAAGCAGCAGCCAAAATCTTGTGTGTGCTCCATTGTTCCCAATTACCATTTACAAATTTTTGTTAACATGTTCTCTGGGCCTTGGCAGATCCTTCAGTTTTAACTGCTTTTAAATGGTGTATTGTTGAGGAAGACATAAGAAATATTGAAAATCAGACTTTTTTTCTTAAATGCCTATAATAATGTCACTGGTTTTCAGGTTTTGCAGCTTTCTGGTGAAAATCAGTCTTTGTGTGAGTATGCCAACCTTTTTGGCTCAAATTTACATCAGAAATTTAAACCAAAAAGGCAATACTAACCATGCTATCTGCTGTTTTCCAATTTTCATCATTACTGTATTTGGTGTACAAGACTGGAGAACTACAGAAAAAACTGATCTCCCTGTCCTTATCTGGATGTGTCTCCCTTGAGAGTCTCACTGAAGTCCCTTGACACCTTCCCTTACCCAGGATTTAGGGGTCAGTACCATATTCAGAAGTGCATTTACAAACTGATGTTTTGGGTTATGTTCTCTCTTCCTTTCAGTTGCTTGTGGTCAGCCTCCTGTTGTGGAAAACGCAAAGACCTTTGGGAAGATGAAACCTCGTTATGAGATCAACTCCCTTATTAGATATCACTGCAAAGATGGTTTCATCCAGCGTCATATTCCAACCATCCGGTGTCAAGGGAACGGAAGATGGGATATGCCTAAAATTACTTGCATGAATCGTGAGTTCTTTGAAGGCAAACCAGTGCTGGATCAGAAAAGACAGACTAATTTAGAATGAATAAGTAATGAACATGTATCTTAAGAGAAGTGTAAATCTGGTATGACAGATTATGACAGCAATACTGCTCA